TGCCCACACCGGCAAGCGCGTGGCCCGGGCAGGCAGGCAGGCAGGCACCCTTGCCCGATGTCCGAAGCCGGTGCCATGCGCTGTGGCGCCGGCGGCAGCACCACGACGGCACGATGGGCATCCCCCCCCCCCTGGTGGGGGAAGCCAGGCATGGCAAGCACACACCCGCGCGGGGCATTCCCCGTGGTATTTTTGCCCTTTCCCCTTCTCACCCATCATCTCCACTCCCGATTAGTATAGTGGTGAGAATCCCCGCCTGTCACGCGGGAGGCCCGGGTTCAATTCCCGGATCGGGAGCATTCTTTTTGATCCGCGCCCTTTTTCCCCGGAGGGACGCGCTCGGGCGTGTGGAAAGAGCAAAAAAAACCCTCCCCGGGGCAGGGTCTGCTCGGGGCCTCGCCCGGATCGAGGAGGCGGCGCTCTCTCTCCCCATGCACCCCCCCGATGCGGGCGGCGGGGAGGCAAGGCTGCCCCCCGGAAGAGGAGGATCAGCCCCACTGGTCGGCGGCATCAGGCGGCCAGCCGCGGCGCGGAAGCGCGCACCGAAACGCTCGGACTGATCCACCGAGGCCTGTTCTCCCAGATGGAGGTGACGCCTTGGGGGAAAGCATTTCGTCTCGAGAGGTACAGCAACGCAAGCGATGACAATAAAGCGCGCGCGGTCTTGTTGGGGAGGCAAAAGTATTTACATCAGAGACTACTCTGGCTTGGGGGGGGGGGAGAGAGCCAGGCCAAGGAGGCAATGACTATCCTTTCTGGGGTAGTCTCTCGTACATGGGATGGAGGGCGCGGGAACCGTCCCTCATATGGGGGTTCGGCACATGGGAGAAGGGGCACCTTGCCCCTCTTCCCTGTGCGCCGAGGGAGCGGGCGGCAGGGCGGGGCGAAGGGCCTTTGCACGGAGGCGCGGCTCTGCCCAAGAGGAGGCGGGGAGCCGGGGGTCCGACCTCTCGGATATGGTCACGCGACGGCCCGTGACCCATTCTGGGATTTGGGCGGTGAAGGGTTGAGACACCCCGGCTCGCGCATGTGATTATGGGGGACCGGTGAGGGCCTTCCCTGAACCACCCAGAGCCTCCGGCCCCGAGAGGGTCTCACCACTCGGACATGGACACAACAACAAAAGAAAGGGGAGCTGGTGATGTGTGTCCTTATGGGAAGTGTACATCAGGGACTGAGTCACACCGCTCAAAGGGAGCGACGTACAGAGGCAGAGCAACGGGAAGTCAAGGCCTCCGTCGAGGAGAATGACTATCCTCCACGGTGCTGGGCCCTTGGAGGGGAGGCGAGAAAAGGGGGGGCCCTTATATAGGGGTGCCTAGAAAAGAGGAAATACATGGGAAAGAGGGGGAAAACCCGAGGGAATGGGCTGCATCGCCGAGGGGCGCGCCACCTGTAAGAAAAAAAGGGCAGAAAAATGGATCTCCCAGCTATTTGATTACGCGCGGAGGGCATGGCCGAATTTGGCGGGAAGGCGACAACGGCGGCAAGCCAAGCAGGGCGAGGTGCGGCAGGTGCGGAGGAGGGGAGCGGAGCGAAGTTCCGGCGCGGCGTCGGAGGCGACATCATGGTTGCACACGTTCAAAAGGCCCGTGGTTGCCACACACATCGTGCTCCTGTGGCTCAGTAGGTAGAGCGTGGGACTGTTAATCCCAAGGTCCGCGGTTCGATCCCGTGCGGGAGCGCATCTCTCTTTTGTTTTTTCCCGGCGGCGAGGGCGCGGTGCCCAAAAAAGGAACTGGCCCCAGCCAGGATCGAACTGACGACCTTCGCGTTATTAGCACGACGCTCTAACCAACTGAGCTATGGGGCCTTGGGAGTTGCATAACTGGAGTGCCATAAATGCCACGACCCTTCTCTCTCTCTCTCTCCTGCGCACCGTCTCCCGCCCCCGCCCCGGGCCTGCTGGCCGACAGGTTGCCGGTCGTGTTCGGGCCCCGCTCCGCCTGTTGTGCGGTCGGGAGACACCTTTGCCGGGGGAAGCCGGACTTCGGCGGGCGGGGGACGGTAGTGGGGGGACAGGCGGGACCACGCCCAGGGTGGCCCAGATGCCGACCAACTGCCCGGTCCCGCGGCGCCTCGACCCTAAACTAGCCTCCCGCCGTCCGGGTGCGGGTGCCGGCGTTCCAGCTACCCTGCGACAGGAGAGGCGGGAAGAGCCCGGGCAATGCACTGGCAGCTGCCCAGGCTGGGGTTGGATCGCCCGCGAGAGAAAGCCCCCCCCCCCCGGTCGGCATCGGCGGGAAAAGGGGCGCAGTAGGCGAGCCGGGGGACGGGGGGGGGGCGGCCCCGGAAGGCGCACACAACAGCCCCCCCGCCGCTTGCTGCCGCGGGGTATCACCGGGAATCGGGCCTTGTACGGAGGGGGCTGCCCCCTGCCCCCCTCGGTCGTGCCGCCCACGGCGGGCCGAGGGCCCGGCTGTACGGGGAGGAGGGGGACACCTGTCCCGCCCCCCCCCCCGAATGCGTGTCTCTTCCGTTCCGGGGGGGGGGGGGGAAGAGCCGGCGCGCCCGGGGCTCTGGGCAGGACTTCGCCCCCCATGGGCTTCCCTCTAGCCAGGCCCCGTGGTCCCCTCTCATCGTCGGAGGGCCAGCCCCGCCGGGGGCATTGGAGTCCGTCTGGGGAGGGTGTTTCTCGCGAACCGTTTCTTCCTCCGGGCGGAATGATGGTTGGCAGAAGAGGGCCTCCCCTGGGCTGATATGCTCCCAGGCCCTTGTCATCTGTCCTGGCCCTGTGGCCCTCTCCGGTCGGCGGGGACTTGTCAGGAGTGTCACTACCTGCTTCATTTGGGCAGAGCCCGGCTTGCGCATGGTGCAAATGCGTGTGGATGTCTGAGCCGTGGAGCGAGAGGGGGGGGGGAGGGGGGGCGGGGGATGTCTGTCGAGGGGCCATGCGCATGCTGGCGCGCCGGAGTCTAGCTTGGTGTTCGTCTTGTTGTGAATCGCGCGGGACCTGGA